GACAATACCCCATAGATTCTCTTTGGGGTTCAGGTCTGGTGAGTTTGCTGGCCAGTCAAGCACACCAACACCATGGTCATTTAACCAACTTTTGGTGCTTTTGGCAGTGTGGGCAGGTGCCAAATCCTTCTGGAGAATTAAATCAGCATCTTCAAAAAGCTGGTCAGCAGAAGGAAGCATGAAGTGCTCCAAAATTTCTTGGTAAACGGGTGCAGTGACGTTGGTTTTCAAAAAACACAATGGACCAACACCAGCAGATGACATTGCACCCCAAATCATCACAGACTGTGGAAACTTAACACTGGACTTCAAGCAACTTGTGCTATGAGCTTCTCCACCCTTCCTCCAGGCTCTAGGACCTTGGTTTCCAAATGAAATACAAAACTTGCTCTCATCTGAAAAGAGGACTTTGGACCACTGGGCAACAGTCCAGTTCTTCTTCTCCTTAGCCCAGGTAAGACGCCTCTGACGTTGTCTGTGGTTCAGGAGTAGCTTAACAAGAGGAATACAACTGTAGTCAAATTCCTTGACACGTCTGTATGTGGTGGCTCCCAATACAGCACTCTGTGAACAGCCAGCTTCTTTGGCAATTAATGTTTGTGGCTTACCCTCCTTGTGAAGGGTGTCAATGATTGTCTTCTGGACAACTGTCAGATCAGCAGTCTTCACCATGATTGTGTAGCCTAGTGAACCAAACTGAGAGACCATTTTGAAGGCTCAGGAAAGCTTTGCAGGTGTTTTAAGTTGATTAGCTGATTGGCATGTCACCATATTCTAATTTGTTGAGATATTGAATTGATGGGTTTTTGTTAAATGTGAGCCAAAATCATCACAATTAAAAGAACCAAAGACTTAAACTACTTCAGTCTGTGTGCATTGAATTTATTTAATACACGAGTTTCACAATTTAAGTTGAATTACTGAAATAAATGAACTTTTCCACGACACTCTAATTTATTGAGATGCACCTGTGTATATATATTAATTAATTAAATTCTTTATTCTTATGTTGTATTTTCTCTCTCAGGAGCTGAAAAAACTGATGGAGAAAAGCTGGAAGGATTATGATGCTAAAATGTAAGTTTCAGAGTCAAATTGTTCTCCTGGTACACAACTTCCTATAACATTTAATATAAGACCACCACTTGGCTTGTCTAAAAGACAAGTCCACAAGCTAAACTAGTGTTTCATTATGTTCTTTTCTCTTTTTCTTCATTCATTTTTTTACTTCGGCTTTTCAGAGGCAAGCTGGAGAAAGAAAGGAGGGAGAAACAGAAACAGCATGGAATGATCCGGTTGGAATCAACAGACACAGTGGAGGACATGGAAAGAGAAAGAAGGAACTTCCAGCTGCAGATGTGTGAGGTATAAGAGGCCGTACGAGGGCAGCCGGTTAACAGACTATGAAACGTGTGCAAAATTAACCTGACCAAGACCGCATTGTGTGAGCGTCTCAATAAGTGCGGTTAGTGCAGCTGAATGTGTATGTGTGTCTTAGAAAGTAATTCCTGGGTTACCTCAGATTGTTAACCTCTCTGTGGTGTTAAACATGTTCTTTGTAAATTCAATAAGTGTGTGGCGGTGTGTGAAGTCACCTGAAACCAAAAAGCTTTGGGGTGCTTTTGAGAGATGCACTCTTGTTTGAGGCCACATTGTGTTCATTTGTGGTTATTGATGACCTCACTCCACATGTCTGAGGCGATATGTCCAAGTTCCATATACTGTGTGCGTGGCAGTTTGCAGGACCGGGGAAATTTGGGCTACGCCGTTTGAACCCAGCTGTGGTAATAGAAAGAATAAGGAAATAAGGAGTGAAGTGGAGGAATAATGAAAGAGAGGGGATTTTCAGTGTCCTACAGCACTCCCTTTCTCAGCCGCAGAGCTCCAGATGTTTCCACTTCTCCCTTTTTATAGTGGAGACAAGCGTTATTTCTTCCAAATGTGACTGACCATGTGACCATCATTAACTTTGGAAAGTTCCTGTATCCATATATGTAGATTTTCATGTATTTTAACAGATTGCTTAGATACTGAATATTCAGAAGCTTAAGCAGCATTTGATCTCCAGTGGCTTCTTTCACCTTTTTTAATCTCCATAAAGTAATTTACTCATGCTCATGTATGCCAACTTTTAGAAAATTAGATGATTTAGTTTCACTAGATAATTTAGTTTCTGTTTTCAGTTCATAAAGCTGGAATACACTGGAAGAAAAGCTAAAAAAAAATTGGAGTCTGTTTGAATCATACACTACACGATTATCTGTGAAATCCGACAGCCCAAAGTCTGCAGATTGGTTTTGGCAACTAGCAATTATCTCCTCCAGACTCCAAATCGTGGCAAAAAAGTTGTATAGTGCATTTCACACTTTAATTCATGTTTGCGCTGGATTCATCTACTTTTGCTTTGTGGTGAGTCACAATGTTGGGACACAGCAGTGGGATTGACCTTTGATTGTTGACGAAATAACAACTATTTCTGTCTCTTTCTGCTTTTGACAGTATTTACTGAAGATTCAGGAGCTGAAAGTTCGACAAGGTCCAGATCTACTGCAGAGCCTGATCAAGTACTTTCAAGCCCAACTTAAGTACGTCTAAACCAAATTTAGATCCTCTAAAAACACCAGCTTCCTTTTCAGATGCAGTCCAAAACTTGGTTAAATTGGCTTTTCACATTACACTTATGTCTGGGTTAAAACCCCTTATAACACTGGCTTCAGCATATGAATCTCAAATGAATTTGAATAACTGTACAGTGAAGATTTAATCCTGCTAATCATTCAACAACTGTCTGTCTGTAATGATTGAATCTCTTTGGCTTTGTGGGTGTGGGCGTTGACATTTGAGATGGCTAAACACTGCTATTGTGTGTTCTCAGTTTTTTCCAGGATGGACTAAAGGCCGCAGAGAATCTGGGTCCATTTGTGGAGAAGTTAGCAGCCTCTGTACATACGGTAATAGACTTGTCAAACCCAGTATCTGTGTAGACAGTGTAACGTATATATGTCCTGTGTTCAGAGTCTCCACACTTGACAGAGTGTTACATAAATATCTTAAAATGTATTTTAAAATGTTCATAAATTTCATACATTTTTGCTGTGGATCTTAAAGGGCAGTTCTAACTGGATAGTTTGTTTTCTTAGAGAGGTGATGAGCAGACATAATGGCTTATCTTGTTTTTTCCTTTGTTTTTGTTTGTTTTCTTACTGTAATGCAGAAAGTCAGACCATATGCGCAGACACATACACACCTTCAATGTTTTGAAACTATCTTGCTTCTCATGATTTTTTTAAAATTCCATTCGAGAAAGATTTTCATTGACACTTTATCATCAATTTTACATGTCTAATCTGACTGAAACCGTTTGTTTGAAAGACTTTGTAACATTCCATGAATTTCTACTGAATATCTTTTTTTGTTAGCACGCACATTAGCTTTGTTAAAAATCTAGTCAGCAGCCTACCTTGACAGCATTTTAATACATAATAGACAGCTTCAAAAAGTATTCCTCTTTTAAATAATGTCATTGCATGTATCATTTGCAGAGAAAGCTATCCCAAAATGCATTTCAACAAGCTTAATGAAATAATAAAATACTCACGATGGTGGATGAGTACTGAAAAATATGAATAAAACGGTTTTATATGTTGCAAATGTGTGCTAGGTATTTTTAGGCAAATGAAAGTGTACACTAGCTTAGCAAAATGTTAACAACAAGCTATGTTGCTCCAATGCTCTCCATTGACTGTCTATTCCGGGAAGCTGCCTCCTTGTCATATCTGACTTATAACAAAAAACGGAGCAATGCCTAAGAGCTGTTATGTGACAAGGTATACAGTAAACAAGCTAAAAAAGCCAGAACTACGTTTTTGTAAGCTGTCGACCCAAAAAAACGAGCGATTAGGACACAAATAGTTGTAGATGTCGGGGTATTTCACGTTGGGCCATTCAGTTGGATCATTTCTCAAACAAAAGGAAGGTTTGGAAAAGGAGCACTGACATAGACCAATAAAATTTAGTTTCTTAATATATCTCCTCCCCTCAGATTCACATAGGGTGGTGAAATAATCCTTTGATATGGTTAAAAATAATGAATGGTCTTGTCGTCGATTAAGTTTCCCTCCAGTGGGCGCGGTTCTCAGAGTAATATGACATGTAGCACTCTACTTTTGTGTCCTAAACGCTAGTTTCTTTTGGGTCGACAATTTATAAAAACGTAGTTCTGGCTTTTTTAGCTTGTTTACTGTATACCTCCTCTGAGGCTGGGACTCTTAAATAGTGTTCTGTGCTAGTCTGTGCAGCCAAAGGCAGAACAGTTAGTATGTTTTGCTCAAACTTTCGCCATGGCATTAGAACTGGTACACCGTTGTCGCTTGTGAAATCAAAATGATGGTGCCGTGGGTGGAAACCTGGTGGAAACTTACAGATTAAGGGGCGGTAATATTATAATAAGATCCCTTTGCCACGTCACCAAGGGAGCGAAATCAGACGCGCTATTTTTCTCTGACGCTTGCAGAAAAAGGCTTACCAAAACAAAGTTACTGGGTTAATCTTTTTCACGTTTCCTTGGTTGGTAGATGCACTGGGGACCTGATTATAGCACTTAAAACCTGGAAAAGTCAGATTTTCATGATATGTCACCTTTAAAGTTTGCCATTTTGTTAATTATATGAGGAGAAGGCAGGATAGGGCATGTGGAATTGGTGTTGAGATGACCGTGTTTTATAGCAGAACTGGTTTGGGTAAAGTTTCTAAAGTGACATTTCTCCTGTTTCAACTTGTCCTCCTTTTGATCATAACGAATCAGCACTTGGACATAAAAGGAAATGAAACTCAAAAATGAGACAACCACAATCCAGCTTTCCTAAAGGAAAAAGTTCCTTTAAAAATACTATTTAATGGAAATTGGCTGAAGAAACTGTTGGAATTTTGTACTGGGGGCCAAAGCCATAATTTCAACAGGCTTTGAGTAATGCATTTCTGGCTGTGTTGGTTTGGTCCTGGGCTTGATTACAAAACGGAGGGATGTGCTGCAGTGTAAGCCTGCAATCTCTAAGACCAGTCACATTGTGTTGCACAAATACAAACCCCACACCACTTTACTGTTATTCATTAGAACTGGTACACCGTTGTCGCTTGTGAAATCAAAATGATGGTGCCGTGGGTGGAAACCTGGTGGAAACTTACAGATTAAGGGGCGGTAATATTATAATAAGATCCCTTTGCCACGTCACCAAGGGAGCGAAATCAGACGCGCTATTTTTCTCTGACGCTTGCAGAAAAAGGCTTACCAAAACAAAGTTACTGGGTTAATCTTTTTCACGTTTCCTTGGTTGGTAGATGCACTGGGGACCTGATTATAGCACTTAAAACCTGGAAAAGTCAGATTTTCATGATATGTCACCTTTAAAGTTTGCCATTTTGTTAATTATATGAGGAGAAGGCAGGATAGGGCATGTGGAATTGGTGTTGAGATGACCGTGTTTTATAGCAGAACTGGTTTGGGTAAAGTTTCTAAAGTGACATTTCTCCTGTTTCAACTTGTCCTCCTTTTGATCATAACGAATCAGCACTTGGACATAAAAGGAAATGAAACTCAAAAATGAGACAACCACAATCCAGCTTTCCTAAAGGAAAAAGTTCCTTTAAAAATACTATTTAATGGAAATTGGCTGAAGAAACTGTTGGAATTTTGTACTGGGGGCCAAAGCCATAATTTCAACAGGCTTTGAGTAATGCATTTCTGGCTGTGTTGGTTTGGTCCTGGGCTTGATTACAAAACGGAGGGATGTGCTGCAGTGTAAGCCTGCAATCTCTAAGACCAGTCACATTGTGTTGCACAAATACAAACCCCACACCACTTTACTGTTATTGTTCACAGGTTCGTCATGAGCAGGACGAAGAAGTAAAACAGCTCTCTCAATTGCGCGACTCACTTAGAACACAACTACAGGTGGATGGCAAAGAGGTAATCTCCAAAATAAATACAACTCCTAGAATGCAATACTTCTAGCTCAAAGTAATGCGTTTTCTTCATGAATGTAGTCCGAGTCAGATGGACTGGAAAACAGCTTGTCTGTGGCCATAATTGGTTTTAAAGACTATATTTCAGCAAATTCGGAGATGAAGATGATGTTGACCGCAATTACAATAAATGTTGTTCTGCGTCTTCACAGGATTTTCTAAACAGAAAGAACTCTGGCCATGGATATAGCATTCACCAGCCTCAAGGCAATAAGAAATATGGCACAGAGAAATCTGGATTCCTTCTTAAGAAGAGTGATGGGTGAGCTAAACATTCCTGTCTACTTCCTTAAATTGCGAAGGTCACAAACCCCCCCAAAAACAACAACAGACCAACTGTTTATTTGTATTACATGGGCTTATTAAAGGTTTTCCAGACATGATGCAGTATTCCACTCCTGTTTGCATTTTGTCACATGGGGTGACTCGGGGAACACTCTCCACACTGCTCTCAGTGTATGTAATGATATATATGCCCTTCTTCTTAAACTGGAAGCAGAATAAATGAAGGAATGAGTTATAATGTCCTGAGAGTCGTGCAGCACAGATAGTTAGCAACATAAAGCATCAGTCTGAGCTTTGTGGTTTAGTCTCTTGCTGCACTAGAGTCTTACTTGCACTCTCTTAAAACCTCTGAGCCCAGCCTACAGCTCACAAAGCACATGCCCACATTCATCTAGACTACCTAGGTTTTGATCAGTGCATGAGAATAAACGTGTCAATGCCATTTTTGTTGTTAAAGGGATAGTTCACCCAAAAATTTAAAATCTGATGTTTATCTGCTTACCCCCAGGGCATCCAAGATATAAGTGACTTTGTTTCTTCAGTAGAACACAAACAAAGATTTTTAACTCAAACCATTGCAGTTTGTCAGTCATATAATGGAAGTGAATAAGGCTGTTAAGAACGCGCTCAGGACAGTTCGGACATTGCGGTGAATCAGAGGTAAAAAAACGAAATAAATGTTTTTAACTGCCACTTATCTCTCAAATGGACCATTGACACTCCTAATTGAGATTGTAGATAGAGTGTCAATGGTCCATTTGAGAGATAGGTGGCGGTAATGCACTTATAAGTCTGCGATCCGCCGTAAAGCAAGAAGAAGAAGAAGAAGACGCGTCATGCGCCGGCTGTTAAGAACGCGCTCAGGACAGTTCGGACATTGCGGTGAATCAGAGGTAAAAAAACGAAATAAATACTGTTCAGTTTCTTGCACAGACCAATCGTTTCGTGTCTTTACACATCAATGTGTCGTCACAAGCTACAGGGTTTAATTTGGTTTTGTTTGTGTATGTTTTTTTGACTCTCAAAGCCGGGATTCCCATTCACTTCCATTATAAGACTGACAGACTACAACGGTTTGAGTTAAAAATCTTTGTTTGTGTCAGTCACCCACATCTTGGATGCTCTGGGGGTAAGCAAATAAACATCAAATTTTCATTTTTGGGTGAACTATCCCTTTAATGACTGATTGTGACTTCACTAGAGAGCTAATGAATCAGAACAATTAACAATTGGCTACTAGTTATTTCTGCATATAGAGTTTATATGGTAAAGCAATCAACTGTATAAAATTTGATGCCAAGGACCCCTTAATATGGTAAAATTTTATCTCCGTGAGAAAAATAATAGAAGTAAGGGTAAAACATACTTTTGTTTTTCTTTGAAATAAACCTTTGCTATGGAGCTATTATGCTAATACTGATGAATACTGAATGTGAATCGTTAGGGATTTTCTGTGATCTTTGTGTTTTAGGATCAGAAAGGTTTGGCAGAAGAGGAAGTGTGGGGTTAAATATGGCTGTCTCACCATTTCACACAGCACGGTGAGATTTGAGAGACACAAACACACTCAACAGCTTCCAGTTACTCATACTTCATTATATTACAGTCTTTTGAATCTGCTTGGCTGAGAGGAATTTAAGTACTTAATATTAACTTTTTGTTTACAAACCTTCTATATAAATCCTATGGCTGAATCACTATGCTGTAATCAGTACTCTTGCTTGTGTGATTGTTTAATTAGCACAAATCATAAACTGACATTGGTGATGACACACAAAGGCTGTTTCCAGTTCTTATAGTCTCAAGAGGGATTACTTGAGCTTCAGAGTCCTGCAATCAAATTTTCCCAAGCTATATGAGAAAGACTCATCGCGATTTCCTTCCAGAACCACAAACTACAGGCCAAAACACATAAAAAATTTTTATCTGGAATCATCCACATTGTCAAAACCCAAAGCTTTCACTGGTTTTGCTTACATGTCTGTGTGCTTCCAGCTTCAGTGTTTTAGCAACCATAAAAGTTATGTAAGCTTTTACGCACATCTTTAGCATCAGTCCTTGCCACAGCATAATTGCAAGTGAAATTTGTTTGCCTTTGATTTAGTGAGTGACCACATATGTGATGAGAATGCACTTTAAGCATGTTATGATTCTTCTCTCACTCTCAGATCAACAGACCACCCGCAAAGCTCAACCTCCTGACATGTCAGGTGCGGCCCAACCCTGAGGAGAAGAGAACATTTGATTTAGTTACACGTACGTTGATCTCTGACCTTTCACCCTTTTCATCTCTGCTGTGGTATGAAGAAAAGAACTATGTTTGGAATGGGAATCTAGCATACTAATGATTGAATAGTGTGCAGCACATACTGTACAGGTGCATCTCAATAAATTACAATGTCGTGGAAAAGTTCATCTGCTAATCTTTAAAAATAATAATTGAAACAGAAGGCAATGTACGTTTTAAGCAGTACGTAGTATGATACATTGCTGTCACACAATTTTCTCACTTATAATGGTAAAACATAACTGTAAGTAGAATTTTAATGACATTTTAATTCATTATATATTTTTCAAAGTTTTGTCTGAAATTTCATTTTGTAGCATTTGGCTTTAATACATATAATGGGTTGTCTGGGTATTCTATGCAGACATTTACATACTATGTACAGTACTATATACCTCAGGAATAATAACAATAGTATGCTATTCTGAACATATCCAAGGATTAGCCAGGGATGAATTTAACATTCATGGCTGGAAATATTTCAATGCTGGTGATGTAACTGACCAGTATGTGATGCATTCAGGGAAATCTAGTATGTTAAACAGGGCGAGGTGTTTTATGCATGTGGGTGTTCAGAAGTATGTAATTAACATTTTGAGGAATAGGTATGTAGGTGTATGTGGATCATGGAATGCAGGTAAGTTGAGTGGCTAGTCCTGACCTGTTTTTTTCTGTTGATTTCCTGTATATCAGAATGTTTTTACATAGCCCCTTTCACACTGCGTTGATTCCGGAAAATTGCCGGTGTTGTGCCCAATTCTGACCCCCCACCAGATTATTACCTCCCTAGTATTGGTAGGTTTAGGAGTAGGTGTAGGGTTAAGATTAGGCAATCAGGCATCGACTTGAACGAGGGGGGTAAATAATTCGGCAGGGGGTTGAAATTTGGCACAACACACACTATTTATTTCTCACTTTCTCTTTTTGTCCTTGCAGACAATCGTACATACCATTTCCAGGCTGAGGATGAACAAGAATGCATGATGTAAGTGCGGAAATTTACACACATAGCACCCCCCCCTCCCTATACAGTGAAATCTTTATCGTACTCTACAGAGCGGCATGTACAGACATGCAGGAGAGAGCAGGTTCAAAACCTGCTTCTCAAGAAGAGAAAGAATAAAAAGGAAAGAGTAAGATAAAGAAAGATGAAATGTTTCTGATGCAACGGATGTATCTGAATTGTCACCTTTTGATATGAACACGCGTCTTTTCTTTGTAATCCCTTCATTGGTCTTCTTGCAGATGGGTGTCAGTGCTGCAGAACAGTAAGGAGGAGGCCTTGAACACGGCTCTCGGAGGAGATCAGCTCCAGTTTCAGGACAGTGGTCTGCAGGAGCTCGTCCGAGCTGTGATCTCAGGCCTGAGAAATCAGCCTGGCAATGAGGCCTGCTGTGACTGCGGAGCCCCAGGTCTAAAAAAAAAACCTAAAACATTTAAATGCTGTTAGGGGCCATTCACACAGAGTACATTTCCTTTTTTTATTTAAATTTTTTGCTAGATGCACGTGTTTGACCACTGCACTCGTGTCTAGTGTCTTTTTATTTTTAAATACAAAAATGCATTCTGTGTGAATGGCCACTTGCCATGTCACAAATACAGAAATCCCATGTGTTATGTTATTCTAAATCGAATCAAAATGATGATACTAGAAGAGTCATTAAATTTAAGCCTTACGTAGTTTTGCATATATGTATTTCTTACACGAGACTATTTAGATCAATGAAATATTTAAGCAATGCATAATGTTATGTCTGTTCTACAGAATTACTGCATCATCTTTATGAAGAGCTCTTGAAAAACACTTTATTGGTTAGTAAAAGGTGTTAAAGAGTGGCAAAGAAATGTTGACGTGTGTTGTGCTCTTTAGAACCCACCTGGCTCTCCACTAACCTGGGAATTCTCACTTGTATCGAGTGTTCAGGAATCCATCGTGAGCTTGGAGTACATCACTCACGAATTCAGTCTCTCACTCTTGATGTGCTGAGCACATCTGAGCTCCTGGTAAGCACACTCACACGCCAAAACGTAAAAAGATCATTTAGATCCATTAATTATTCAGTTCACATTTACTTTTTTTTGTGTGGTAATTATCAAGCGTAGCATTAGTTCTGGCAGGTCACGTTAGTCAAGCTCGCATCAGCTGACTCTCAGCTGATCCCCTTCTACCTAGGAATACGACACCTATATAAGCATTCATATATATTATCAGCAGTTTTCGCATTACTCAATAGCTAATTACCCTCCTCCATCCCCAGCTCCTCCTCTGTCAGTCAGGATTCAGCCTTCTGATTATCCTTTGAGCCAGACTAAATCTAAAATATGTACATAAAATTATTGACCTTTAATGATATCTGCAATACATTTATGTTGGTTCTGTTCTGTTTATCCTGGGGGGTTATCGCTGCTCTCCCTGCTCTCATCCATGCTAGGCTGCTTGAATGCGCAGGGAGTTCTTGCCCAGAACAGAACCATACCGCCAATCCAAACTGTATGCAAATTTTCAATCATCTTTGACGATAGTGGTCCTGACAGAAATCACATTTATCTTGAACTTTTTACCCATAATCCACTGGGACTGAGTCAGTGGTTACTCACAAGTGACTCGCTCACATCTGTACATGTTTATATGAACTCTTTACTTTAAATTCTGCTCCTGCACACATGAGTGTTATTTATTAGTTTGTTAGTTACTTGTCAGTTAGATTACAGATAAATTACCAAACATATGAAGCTGGATGCATGAATTCAGTGTTCAAATGTCTGTGGTCTTTTACTGCAAACATTCGTTTATCAGTTGTGTTTTGGTTCACAGTTGGCAGTGAGCATTGGAAATGCCAAGTTTAATGACATCATGGAAGTCAACCTGCCCAATGATGCAGTCAAGCCCCTCCCAAAAAGCGACATGTGAGTCCTACTGTGCAGTCACGTATATAGATCCATATAAATTTTTTTTTTTTTTCCTTTTACAAAAGTTTTTTCACTTTATCAGTAGCTCAGACTTTTTTGGCTTCATTTTGTTTGCATGTCTCAGGACAGTGAGGAAGGAGTACATTGTAGCGAAGTATGCAGAGCGACGCTACGTCCTCCCAAAAGAACACTCTGAAGCATACCACGTGCATGACACTGTGAGGAGCAAAGATCTCACGTCACTGCTACAGCTCTATGCAGAGGGAGAGGACCTGTCTAAACCAGTGGCCACACCTGACAGACAGGTGAGAGCCTCAATCCCACCATATATACACAAACACAACCACAATGATAACAAAACCATCAAGGCTTATTAATATGCCTTCACTTGTGCTTTAGACTTTTCTTGAGATGTTTAGTTGCTTTCACAGGGTCCATCCATCATATGAGACTTCCTGTGGTTTACTCAAATAGATGTTTAACTCTTTTTGATCATTTTGAGCTGTATAAGCAGAAATGACTGAGACATCTGTGTGGTTAAACGTCATTAATCATACATCATTCACACTCTCTCTGTAATTCTGTATTTCCTCTCTTTTTTCCATCTCTAATCAGATTTCCCTCTCCTCAGCCCACTCAGGAAGTAAACACAAGCTGTGTAATGACTGCTGTACTTGTGTTTGAGTTTGGTGTGTGTGTGTGTGTGTGTGTGTGTTATTTGGCCAAAGTCTCTTTTCTAGGACAGAATTTGACTTGAATAATTCAATGACTGAATCACCAACATTTTTATTTTAACACACATATACTCACAAGTGGAGAATTGTATAACGCCAACTCAGTCTAATTTTTTTATCTTCTCCGTCACTCCTCATCCATTCTGCTGTGATTTATTGAACTGGTGAATAACAGTACATTTGTTTCACCAAGACAGTGGCCGGTTTGCAGCAGCCTGTAGATTTATCTTGTTCTCTTCTGTGTCTAACAGGACCTGAAGGAGACCGGTCTTCTCTTAGCTGTGCGCATGTCTGAGAAGACTTCTCTGGCTCTGGTGGATTTTCTAGCTCAGAACTGGTGAGAGAAATCTGCTATAGTCACGGATCCGTCAGCATCCAAGTAGGATGTCCATAGCTGACTGCTTTGTGTGTGTGTGTGTTTTTTCTTAGTGGCTGCCTGGAAAAGAAGACAGCAGAAGGAAACACAGCGCTTCATTACTGTGCATTATACAACAAATCAGAGTGCTTGAAACTTTTGCTCAAAGCAAAGGCTGTTTTACACACAGGTATACAATTCTCACATATACACAAATTCAACGATGAACATGGTGGATAGATAGGCGGATGGATACATAGATGGATAAACAGACTATGACAGACTTCAACTTTGAGAGGGAGATAGATAGACAAATCGATCAGTCTGTCCTGATTTTGACCCTTCCATTGTTCTGATTGTCCTGTAGTGAACTCAGCGGGTGAGACAGCTCTAGACATTGCCAAGAGACTGCAGCACATGCATTGTGTCGAATTGGTGAGTATCAGATATTGCATAAAGCTTTTATTGACTTTGTGTGTGTGTATGTGAGCACATGTTTGTAGAGATATTATTCCTAGGTTGACTAGGTTAAACTTTATCCTGTTTAATATCCTGAAGTCTCATGTAACAGTGTTTTCATAAGGAACTTCCCTTGTCCTTTCCTTGCATATAATAATATCATCACATAAAGCAAACCTAGTAGCTGTTATAAATACCAGTGTCTCCAAATAAAGGACCAGGGATCATCCAACCTTTGACTCATTACAGTATAAAAACAACAAACAAATAAATTAAAATAGAGCTGGATTTGAATCTTTGTATTTGCTCTGTCTAATAGGACACTAGTGTGATATATCAGTCTGGTCAAAAGTGAGTTAGTGAATTGGCTGTGGATTTCTTACATTTTCTTTGTGTGCATGTTTAGCTGGAATTGGCCCACAGTGGGAAGTTCAACTCTCAGATCCATGTTGAATACACATGGGAGACGCCACAGGACATGTATGACAGTGAAGATGATCTGGACGAAAGGGTCTGTAACCAGATAAACTATTTCTTACTATTTGTATTTTTCACCATGATATGTACAGTGGTATCTTAGGCTGTGACCACTGGTGAAAATGTTTCTCTATTTTGCATTTAATAATAATAAAATAATTTATTAATGCTGTAATGTTTCTTTGTTTTAGAATTTACAGAATCAATGATAAAACAGTGCTCAGGTTCAGCAATATGAATTTTTTAATTTTTAAATAGGAACATTATAAATATACAAGTCTATGAATCTATGAATGCTCATAAATAAAAGTATGTCTCTGTTTGGACTTAAAATGTTAAATATAATGTTCAATAACTATTTGTTTAGGTGAGTCCCCATCCTAAGGGATCACGGTCTCCGCTGCTCCCTACTGGCAGCAATGGTCACTGCTCGGCTGCATGGAATTTAAATAAAGGCAGCCTGGCCAGGACCTATGAGAACGTTGACTTCCTATATCGAAATCCACCCAATAACAGCGCCCCCACTAATGGCTCCATGCCTCCTCCCCTGCCAGCTAAAGCAATACAAAGAGGTGAGATACTGTTTGTTAGCTTTTAATTTACTTTTTAAGTCTGGAATTTTGTATATCCCAAAAATGCTTGTGCAGGTTTGACCTGATAAACAAAAGCTAATGAATGATCTGAAGTTTAGATGTTCTCTGAGAAGCTGAATTAAGCTCCTTTGCATATGTGAATTGTGTAGAAACCCTGCAGGTTTATTCCAGACAAACCACAGCAAGGTCAAAGATAATTTGTGTCTCTTCAGGTCGTTCAGATCCTCAGATCTCAGGTTCCATTCCAGAGACTCACGCCCCCTGCCGTCAGAGTTCCCACCCCACCGGTTGCTTTCAGAGAATCAGCACTTCGTCCCCTGGACCAACACCTGCACACGCTCATAGCACTGGAGGGTCAAAAGGACACAGACAGACATTGTCCTGGGAGGGACAACTTTTCTCAGGGGCCGAGGGCAAAAATCACTCCACCTCACCACAGAGTCAGAGAGGACCTGTCAGGTTTGTCACTGTGGTCCTGGTCCTATGCTGCATTTATCTTCCAAGGCCAGAGGTTTCCTCAATATCGTACTTAATGATCTGTATTGTCACAAGACATATATTTTTTTTATTTCAAATTTCGTTTATTGGATTTTTTGCACTGAACATCAAATTCAAAGACAACAATGCACTGTTCATACCCTAGTAAGCACCTCCCTCAACTAACTACCTAAGAAAAACTTCCCATACAAAAAAGTTATAACAATAATAAAATAAAAAAAATCCATAATAAGAATATCTTAACAGACAGAGAACCTTAGACAATTTACAAGAATAGCATGCTAAATTGTAAAAAAAAGAAAAAGAAAAGAAAAAAAAATGTTGCTCAGTTTAAGGGTCTAGAGTTATCCACCAAATAATCTAAAAAGGGGCCCCACAGTTTATCAAAGGTCCTTAAAGAACCATTGAGTGACAGTATAATTTTATCCAATTTGATGCAAGTAAACACCTCTTTCAGTCATAATAAGAATATCTTAACAGACAGAGAACCTTAGACAATTTACAAGAATAGCATGCTAAATTGTAAAAAAAAAGAAAAAGAAAAGAAAAAAAAATGTTGCTCAGTTTAAGGGTCTAGAGTTATCCACCAAATAATCTAAAAAGGGGCCCCACAGTTTATCAAAGGTCCTTAAAGAACCATTGAGTGACAGTATAATTTTATCCAATTTGATGCAAGTAAACACCTCTTTCAGCCATGGATCAAAAGTAGGGGGTGAGGCATGTTTCCATTTTAAAAGAATTAGACGTCTTGCTAAGTAGTAAAGGATGTAGCCTTTTGAACCATCACTGAAAGGGCAGCATCGACTGCCATGCCAAAAATGGCAAAAAGTGGATTTTGATCAAGATCTGTCAGTCTTCCTTCAGAGTTTTAAATATTTTGGTCAAATCAAATAATTTAGGGCATTCCCACAGCATATGAATAAGATCCACTGGTGAATTCCTACACCTGTTACATACATCACTGACAAAAGGATATATTTTAGCAAGTTTAGCATTAGTATAGTAAACCCTGTGTAAAATCTTACACCGTATCAGGCTATGTCTTGCACATATTGATGATGTATGAACGAGATCAAGAATACGTTCCCAGTGTTCATCAGATAACTCAAATCCCAAGTCCCTGTCCCAATCCTCTCTAATCTGGTTATAAATGACAGAAGTACAATGTTTTGAGTGTGGTTCAAGCTTTAAGAAGTCATCCAGTGGGGATTCAGGGGGGCGATTCGGGAAATGAGGGAATAGTTTTTGAACAAAGTTCCTGATTTGATAGAAACAAAATAACTGGGAATTAGGTAGGTAAAATCTCTTGGAAAGATTATTAAAGAATGAGACTAGACATATTTTTTGAGCTATCAGTTCAGTATTGTTAACAATATTAAAATAGTAGCATTCATTAAAATCAGAAATTGATACATGTGTGTAGTATTGTGACTTATTGTCATACAAATATCACACATGTCTGCAGTTCAGAGAAGACGACCTCATATCGCCGCTCGAGCAGCGGGAGTCAAGGAAAGAGTTCAACCCCGTCTCCAGGGTGTGCTGGCAGTCTGGAGGAACTCTACTGCAGTCCAGTGGGTGGGGCTCCCAACCCTGCACCTCCGCCAGTGAATGCTAACAACAGTGCCACAGTGCCAGTCATACTGCCGCCACCTCGCTCACGCAAAAATGCCATGGTAACATGCCATGCTATGATCTTTACCTTGAGAAATATGATTTTTCAAATGTCTTCCTGATGTTTACATAGTATGTTTATATATTTTTTTTTTGCAGTTCGTTATTCCTTTAATTATGAACATGAATTTAAAAGCAGGAATACTATACACAAATTCTTCTCAATTTGCAGTCTGGAGAACAGGAGAAGTTGCTGAAAGTCATAGCCAGTCTGCAGATTTTGAACAATCAAGAGTTACATAGTGTATGATGGGCACAGACTCTGATTTTTAGCTTCAGATTCTGATTCCATCCAGTCTTAGAATATCAAGCATATTTAATATTTTGAGACGATTTTAGAACACACATTGTTTGATTTGTCATTAGTCTCCTAGCAATGAGGCACGTTTCTGCATGAGTCCGTTGTGTTCAGAACCACGTGAAATCTTTAGTCGTTTAATGTACGATGTCCAGTTTTTTGTCAACCAAAGTTGACTAGTAGTGTTTTAAAATCAGATTTCAATAATCATGTAGTGTATTCCAGCCTTAACTTGCTAAAGTGTTTATTCTGTATGTGTTTCAGATCTCATTAAAGGAGAGACCCAAAAAGGTCAGAGCGTTAGTTGACTGTAGAGCAGTTGGTCCCAATCAGCTGGCTTTCTTTAAGAATGAGGTCATCATAGTGACAGCAACTGACGACCCACACTGGTGGGTAAGTATTTAAACTCTCTCACACTGACACTCACACAGCTTCGCAGTATCTGTGAATAACTGAAGACTTCAACATCTTGCACACTTTCCCTCCCAGGTGGGCCATATAGAGGGAGAACCTTCTAGAAGTGGCTCTTTTCCAGTCAACTATGTACATAAATTAGGAGAATGAGATGAACCTCCAGGGACACTCGCATTACACCACATGGAACTAGTCTAGACTGTTGCTTTTATCTTCAGAGCCGCTAGACCTAGATGCTGTGGAGGCCTGAAATGCACTTAGAAGATGAAAGATTGGAGACCAGACTCTTCCACAGCATTAGTGTGGATGCTGTAAGATGATCAACTGATCCGTTTCAGTGCTGCATGTAATGTATCTCAGCTGTTTATCTGGACTGAAGGTTTGGCAGGTACATCATGCCAATGACTGGACTTGGAACAGGCAGAAAACGGATGAAAGTTGTCCAGCTTTTAAAACTTCCTGGCTGTGTTGTTTAAGCAAACAACATCACTTGTTCTAATTGATATTGGCGTTGAGGCATTTGGACAAACACTTTGAGGTCTCTAAGAGATTGTCATCCAGACTTTGAGGCACTGGGTTCATTTACTGAAGCTCATCCTGTGGTTGGTTCAGTTGCTCAGTGCTCTCTGGATTATTTTAATGACATGCCATTAGTACTGGCTAGACACCAGGTCCTCCAGACAGAGTTAAAGGATGGTGTATTTGGTTTCATCTGTCTCCTCTGCACTGACGTCTCCTATTGCTGCTGATTCCCAGACATCCAGTCTTGCACTGGGAGATAAAGCAACTTGCAACATTTAAAATTAAACACTTGCAGACTTCTAGAATCCTCAGATGGAACACCAGGATGTGAATATTAAATTACAAAAATATTCAAAAAGTTTTGACTGCAGAAAGTTTACAATTCAGTATTTCAAGCCATAGGAAACAACTTAACCACAGTACAGGCACTGTTAGGCCTTACAGAGCACATAAAAACACGCAAGCCACTGCAACCTAGTTATTTTCACAGTTTAAGTACTTGTGTTTTGGTAGCCTATTATTCCATTTTCTTTGATTCTAAAATTCTGTAGTAAAGCATCTCTTTTCAAGTGTCCATATTCTATGCTAATGTTTAAAAATCTCTGTTAGCTTTGTCTATGAAAAAAGTTCTTTCTGCACTTGCCACCCTCGCTAAGTCTTATTTGTCTGTATTGTTATCGGTCAGCATTATGTTTTTATTTTAATGGGCTCTCCCTCCAAACTGAGGTGGTTTGTGGTGCATTTGGGACGTGTCTTGAACCAGCAGACTCTGTATAAATGTTTGATAAACTGAAAGTACACAACAGATGTTTTCCCTTCTGCCATCTCATTGACTTCTGTGAAGCATTTTTTAGGCAGAGATGAACATTACAGCATGTTGGTTCGGCTGACTTTGTGTTTTAGGAAAGCAAAAGGTAACGCTGCGTGTAAATTATGCTTGTGAAAATTAACCATTTTGTATCACTGTAACTTCTTATATTATTGAGAAATGTCACATCCAGTTTGTTCATAGCATATTTGAACAAGATATTATTTAGCATCTATTTCTAAGAATGAAAAATGACAATTAAATATTTGCAAATCACGTGTTGTCTCTAGGATAATCATACAGTAGATTACAAAACCTTTGATCTAACTGAGATCATAGTCTAGCCATTAAAGTGCTTTATTATTACAGAACATATTGCTTAAAAAAACATTTTCTGGGGAAATGGCATAAGTATCTTTTTCTAGAATATATAAACCCTCTGCAATCGTCAAACACGCAACAATTTTTTTCCACAAATCCTGGATTAAAAATGTATCTTTTTGCAAAAGGATTATTCACAGACATGATGCATGTGTGTGTAAATCCATATTAGTACCGGTTTCCTTTTTTTTTTTTTTTTTGCCGTCAGCCGTCCATCCAGGATGGGCTTAATGGATTTTTTTCCACAAATCCTGGATTAAAAATTTATCTTTTTGCAAAAGGATTATTCACAGACATGATGCATGTGTGTGTAAATCCATATGAGTACCGGTTTCCTTTTTTTTTTTTTTTTTTTTGCCGTCAGCCGTCCATCCAGGATGGGCTTAATAGACTGTTGCCAGCACTCAACTTCTTGACAGATTGAAAATCGTTAGCTCTTAGCGTCTGACTGAGCTGTTGCATAATTAACAGGTGTTACGTCACTGCTCAGAAAGTTGCAGGTCAGTCTGAAGCAGATGTTCACTGTGATGGTCCGCAAATGAGAACCATTGGCTTGCAACATGATACAGCAATTCTCCTTGGTTGAATGCCATGTGTAAGCCATCATCTACTTTGTTCTACTGCCTTCAGTATTCAAAATACATGCTATGAGGATTTTAATTGGAATGTAGCAGTGTTAATATTTTTTAAATGTTTTAAATAATGTTTTAGGAATGTGTAAAAGTGTGAATAAAATTGTTGAAGCATTTCAGCTGTTCCAGTGTTGCTTTATGATGTCTCTGACACTGTATTCTATAATTAGACGCATTTGTCTGCTCTGAAATAAAGTGAGTTTGAATTACATTATGGGAAAATAATATAATATGTGATATATGATGATACTTTGATTATTGAAATGACTGACCACTGGTGTTCAGGGAACTATTCCCACACGTTTTCTGTTCTTACTGATTCAATCAGATTTATTGACTAGTGATCCTAATTTGAGCACATGTACACCAAAGCAAAGTGCAGATGTGTGGAACATTCATTTGAATTGTTCTTTTGCGTAATACATTCACTTTCAGAACGCATATCCAAGGAAATACGGTGGAAAATTTTGACCAGTTACACAACTTGGATATACTTAAGATTTTTTATGTGTATGGAGAATCACCAAGGTAAGCTTTTTACTCAACTAAACCCAGCTAATTGGATCAGGGCTATTATAACGTCATAGTAAAGTGAAAGTGACGTGTAGCCAAGTATGGAGTCCCATTTGTGCTCTGCATTTAACCCATCCAAGTGCATACAGTGAGTAGTGAACAAACACACCATGAACACACACCCGGAGCAGTGGGCAGCCATTTTTGTATGTGTCAGTCATGGTATGAAGGTGGAAGAAAGCGCTGGTCATTCACTCCCCCACCTACAATCCCTGTTTAAAATAGATAGAGGCATATTAGTTTCTCTCTTTGGCATAAGATCAGCATTTTGATAGGCAAACCGGTTCATTAAAAAGGTCAGCAAAAACAATTCTAATATTCAATATATCATTGATAGATATGCAGAAGCATGTGAATCTGATTTAATTTCCAACTGTCTTTTTTGTTCAGCAAACCATGCAAGTAATGTAGTAAAAATCCAGTGACTACATCAGCATAAAGAGGAAATAAAAAATACATAATTTCAGTGTTAGACAAGAATCAAAGATTTTTGAATGTTGAATCTTGTTCTGTGAAACATGATGAAATAAGAGTAACATTACAGAATAGGCCATTTTTAAAGATTGTGAATAAAACTTTGAAAATATATATACATAAATATACATGAAAATACATAAATTCAAAGCATGATACATTCTTATTCAATTTCAATAGTGTTCAAACGAAAAGAGTCAAAGGCATCATAGGCACAAACAAAGTTGTTTAAAGAGTTTGTGAACCCCAATAAATGTCTTTTATCCAAAAAGCTTCTCTTATATTGTCACTAAAAATAAAAGCTATTGTAAATAGTTGTTGAGCATTAAGATTACATTAGCTTGCGGAAAGTTATTTTACAGTTGAGAAAAGAAATAATGAATCAGCTAATCTAAAGAATGTGACAACAAAAGCAGAATATCCTACAAAAGTGTTTACAAAGATTAGTGTTACCTGATGAAACCTCTAGGATATGGCCTCATAACTGTATACATGAACACAAGGACAGACTTTACATTCATCCTGCAAGTGGGCCCAGACAGATCTTTGGGAAAGCTTTTTTTAATATCTGTCATAGCAAAACTCATGAAAGGTGCAGTGCAAAAATCAGTGTGTGAGAGAAACCAGCTGAGGTGTCTTTAAACCACACAGCGTGAATGAATGACATGTACAGTAAACAAGATAAGGCATTTGATGAATGTTAAACTCTACGTAGCTTTTGAGAAAATGTAGCCTACAAATCACGAATACCAACGAGAAACCATTCAACCGATCATCTGGTAGCATTGCTGGATTTCTACAACCAAGATTCTCTTTAAAAAATATCATGCTACCTGACAGTGCAACTACCACAATAATCCATGGAAATGATGTGCAACAGACAAGTTCCAGAAGTAAAAATCCCATTCATTTTCTCTGTAGGGGATAAAGACAGACCTACTGTGAGCTACAAAGTTGTTCATCGATGGTTTATGCTTTTGTTGAAGATGTCAGTCTGCAATGTTTCAGCGTATTTTTTTTTATAATTCTGTTCAACAGTGAAATTTCTGGTGAAAAACTACATTACCCAAGATTCTGCAAAGAAATCTTTACCAATCACATAATTGCCAGAAGCAAATCATACCAAAAGAACACTTAAGCTCCTGCCCATTCCCATGAAGCACTGCAAATAAAGCCAGTTTCCCTATGTTCTTAAATATGAATATAGCCTAATATGCATATTTTGCAATAAACAAAAAAATCAGTTTTTCTATTTAAAATCAACATTTTTAAATCAATCATTTATATATCCCCATCATTTTTAATTCTATTATGTCATTCACAATACTTTATGGGACTGTAGTTAAGACTTTAGTGCACAGTTTTGTACCTTTTTCTTTTTGTCCAATTTTCACTTTTTTTGCTTCAAAGTTTGTAATGTTGTGATGCACCTTGTAGCTGATTGGTTTGGATCATGGCTTATAACTCTTAAATAAACACTCAAAGAAAAAACTATGGGAAAAATGAATAGGAATACTTCTGGAACCGAGGCCATGAAAAAGTGGGTGGGCACTCTATCTATATTATGAAATATCAGAGCACTGAATAACATAACTGACCAATCAGAATCAAGCACTCCAGAGATCTGTGTAATAAATATCATCATTTGAAACCTTACTAAACTGTTGTAACATTTTAATTCTACAAATCAAGATATTTGAGCAGAAACTGTGGTTACCATGGTAAATGTTTGTAGGGGAGCCTAACAGATGGATTCATCATTTCATTCCAACAGTGATCACTAAATACATGTCCTCACACAAGGCTTTCATCTCAACAACATAGTTTGGTTTGCAGTTGATATGTCGCTCAAGAACATTGCAGGCGTGTTCATCGTCTTTCACACTCTACAGCAGCCAGTGGCATGTCCTAAATCTAGCATAATCTACAGCTGCCTAAATCAAATCCCTCCTAAAATGAGGGAGATCGGCACAACCATTAAAGGACACCGAGATCTTCTTTCATTAAAGAAATGTAAGTAGCCCTTGAACTGAGATTCAGTCACCTCTATTGTGTTTGCTTTACGCCTGATCAATATAAATGAATAAAGACTGTGGTCTGCAGGCAGCCTGCCCCGTCAAATGACGCAAATCTAATGGCGTCACACGCAGAGCTGCAAAGACAAAAAGCACCATGTGTGCAGCAGTATCATCGAGTGCTGGAAAGACTGAAAATGGTATCTGATGGAGTGGTTAATTTATGACTGTATATTCATAACGTGTGATTTTCTGGCGAGAATTAAGCATTTGTAGTCATTAAATATTTGTTTGCTCATCTCTCACCAGAATTAGTTCTAGGTCATTACACATGACAGTATGATGCTTTAGAAGCTGGTTTGAAAGCCTTAGAATGTACAGTACCTTCATACTGCCTGTGAGGTCATTAACTGACTGGGACTTACATTTCACACACAGCCATATGCTTACATATTTCAACTACATATTTAAAGGCAATTTTAGTAGTATACACTCAAACTAACTAGCGGTCTGCGGTGAAGGAAGTCACGCAGCATGAAACTGAAAATGTCCTCTGCCTGTCATTCATGAGCTGTAGTTTTGGATCTGTTGATGTCAAATACGTTCTGAAGGAAATGAAAGTCAGGTCCAGGTTGCTAAGCGACAGGGGGAAGAGAGAGGCCCCAGATGGAATGTTGAAGGAGAGAGAGAGAGAGATAAATCACCACTTCCCTTCTCCATCCACACATGCCCCAGATGTAAGCTGGAGAACTCAAGAGGACCAGAGCGCATGTGCGCACCCTCCTCACAAGCCCCCGTCCCCAGTATATGTGCACAAATCGTCCAATCACAATTGCGTACAATTAATCTGTCGTTCACACCAAGGATGATAACTATAGCGAAAACTAGAACTATAAAACTCTAATTTGTGAAAATAGTGAAGTCCACACTACAAATGTAACGATACCGTCACATACGAACGATATTATTGGAATCACTTACAGAACCAATTTTTTTTCCAGCAGATGAATGCTAAAATCTTTGCTAGCCAATCAGAATCCACTTGACATTAAAAAAAATTGGTCATCATAGATAAATAGGCTAAATCAACAAATAAATCAAGTTAATCATAACTTTTGTTATCTACTTTGTTCTGGCCATGAAGCCAAACACATGAGTTAAAATCATCAAGTAAATAAATACACATAAAATGAAATCAATCGTTTTGCTTATTTACTCTTCTTTAATATTGATGTGCCATATGAGAGTGTTCCCTGAATAGTTTACAGCATTCATTTGGAGAAATATTTTACCCTAAGGAAAATTTGGCAATTAGCCAAAATAATTGCATTAAAGGGCACCTATTATGACCCTTTTTACAAGATGTAATATTGATCTTGGGTGTCCCCAGAATGTGTCTGAAATTTCAGCCTTAAATACCCAACAGATCATTTATTATAACAGCTGAGAAGGGTCTGGCTGCAGCCTTGCACTTGCACTCTCAGACTTGCACTCTCAGACACTTGCGCTTCCGCTAGCGACTTCACTTGCAGTCTTTTATTGTTTTTATTTTGTTCTATTTATTGATTACTTTTTGTTTGAATCTCTCAACATTTTACAACAGTAGCCAGGTGGTGAAGACAAGAAGAAAGGAACTAAATTACAATGTCACTCTCCGCTACCTGCGACGTCACTTGCAATCGACATAAATCGTGCGTTTTGCCAATGGAGACAAGAAGCTGTGGTAATTAAACGATTAAAACTAAATTAGTACTATAACATACAGGGTCATGCAAGAAAAAGACAATACCCGCAAATCCGTGGCCACAGAACAGCAGAATATGAACGCAATGCACAGTCTCTCGTTAAGCATTTTCCTCCTGTAGAAAAACATAAACACTTAATATGGTTTAATGTATTAAGATACATTCAGTTCAATTAAAATATCAAATTCGATATATAGTTATTATTTAATGTACTACAAGGCAAACAGATGGCTATGAACACAATGCGCAAACTTTCACTTGTCCTCCCATACAGCAAAACCCTTAATGTGGCATAATAACGGACTAAGATGATATTCAGTAAGACAAAGACAATTCAGTAGCCTATATGTCTTGTTGTTGACTCAAAGTATATACAGACCAACAAATATGAACGTGCATTATGAAATGCATTAAGTGATTTTAAAAGGATCAACTCCGTACTGCCTGTAGCAAGGGCCAAGTTTGCCCATCAATGGGCTAAACTGATCAAGCATAGGCTCACTGTCTGCCTCTGGCCGCTTGGTCGTTACTTTAAAAAAACAAAAACGTATATTTAACGATCAAAAAATGCTTCAAACGTTTTTTAAATTAACTTCATAAAAAAAACGAAACGAAATAATCACTTTGCTATTACATACAAAACTGACGAGCCCAGAACGCAATGCGTTAAATTGCACGTTAAACCTTTTCCTCCTATAAAAAATCATTATAAATAAAACACATAATGTAGCTTAATGGACAAAGACAATGATATAAAAGAGCTGTAGACAGTTTATTCTATATGGAAAAACGCTTAACACGAAACTGTGCTTGTTGCACTTATTCTGGGCTCATCTGCTTGCCTGTACATATTAGTTATGTATATTAATAATGTAGAGGAGCATATTGAGTTTGGACTTTTTAGTCCATTATGCCACATTGTGCCACGTTTTGCGAGGTGATGTCCATATGGCAGAAACGAACGATCATCTCTTCTGCTTTACTCCTAGTTAGAGCACAAAATCATGAATGAACATCAGAAGGTATGCTGAAAGATACAAAACAACTTAATGAAATTTATCAGCCTTCATATAATCGCCCTATTTGTGTCTTAACCACGGTAAAGAAGGTAATACAACTTTTTTTTTCAAACCATCTTGTGTGCAGTCTACCAATAAGTGGCAAAATAACAGTGTATAACTTGAGGGTCATACTAAAAACCTTCATTGCAATGGTAAATTCAATTTAATAATTGAAAAAAAAATCTATACATTGAGAGATTTATATCTATCAACTTTAAGATCAAATGGTTGGGCCCCGACTTTTTTACGCCCCTCGGGATGGGCTTCGGGCCAATTTTCACGTCATAGTTCTGTTTTAGGCTTCTCCTTATTTTTATATTTTAGACATCCATCAATTAGTAATGAAAAAAATTGCTGCGCTGGTGGAAACAACACGAGACCGTGCTACCGAGACTGTCAAGAGCGGCTCGACGGTGTTTAGTGTCCCGCAGCAGCAGCATGTATGGTGCGTGCCGTCAGCACAGCTGAACAGTTCTGCGTTCAAATGCAGACAATAGGCTTAAGCTTGCCGCAAAGCACCGGCAAAAGTAATTACCATAAATGCATCAGGGGGAAACAGTAAGGAGATATTTGAGTTATTTACTAATAAACTAGTGTTTTCTGAGTCTGTGTCACAAGGATGAAGTTGTCGATTCTGACTCGCCATCTCCTCAGACGCGCCTTTAGAGAGAAGTGCATCTTTAAGGATTATGATCATAATGAAAGAGTTTTTGTTTTTGATTTGTTTTATTTCGTTAAATAGTAATTTAAAGCTTTCTATAGACATATTTATCATGTCTGTGAGGCATGTATTCCCTGAGATTCGGTTCATTTTTGTGAAGCGCTCCTGTTGAAGAAGAGACGGCAGAAAGCGCATCATGTTTGTTTTCTTTATTCTATAAAAGCACAACATTTTGTTGATATTGTGAGTGCACACAAATAAAAGTAGACCCTTTACAGTTCCGAATGATTTATTACTCTTACCTTTATGAGCAAAAATGACGGCGTATCCACTGAAAAAAACGCAAGCGATCGCGCTGGCGTCTCTATGTCCTGCAAAGCGCGCTTCAGCTTCCACTCTCCGCAATAACTATTGGATATAGCGCACATTTATCTAGGTTTAACGTTTAAACATTGTTAAATGCTTGAACTGTTTTATATCTATAGATTTTATTTTAGGCAAGTCGTGATGATTTGAGAAGGCTAAATCAGGGGTGGGCAAACTTGGACCTTCCAGGCCACTTTCCTTCAAAGGTTAGCGCCTCCAACCCTGATCAAACACACCTGAACCTGCTAATCATTGTCTTCAAGACTGCTAGAAGGCTAGGCAGGTGAGTTTTATCAGGGTTGGATCAAATCCCTGCAGGAAAGTGGCCTGGAAGGGCCAAGTTTGCCCATCAATGGGCTAAACTGATCAAGCATAGGCTCACTGTCTGCCGCTGGCCGCTTGGTCGTTACTTTAAAAAAACAAAAACGTATATTTAACGATCAAAAAATGCTTCAAACGTTTTTTAAATTAACTTCATAAAAAAAAACGAAACGAAATAATCACTTTGCTATTACATACAAAACTGAACTATTTTAATAGCTGTATAATAGCTATTAATAGTAGTATCAGCTGTTTTGGGAGAAGGTGGAAAAAAAGACGCGCTCGGGCCGGTAATTCTGATAAACTGTCGGACACGGGACGGGCTAGGGCGAATATGGGAGATTACTAGGGGGGACAGACAAAACAGATGGAGAGGAGAGACATATGTTGGAGAGAGAGAACGGGAAAGTGAGGGCAGGATTAAAAACAGACAGGTGAACAGACAGAGATTCTGTATATACAAGAGCTTTGTCATTCATTCATTATGGATGTAGACGCTCAGATAATCCCACTACATCATGGCCTAAATTCTGATGTACAAAGCTCTCATTTTGTCTGACTTTTAGTATATCAATCCAATGAGCAGATTAAAAATATAATATGCCCCAAGACTGCCAAATACATTGAGGTGGAGACCTCACATGGGACAAATTAGGATTCAGTGACTGAAAAAGAAAAGGTCAGTTAAAATAAAACAAAACAAAACAAAGATTTAACAAGAGATAAAGGACAAGTCATGCTATTTTTTTCTTTTCTTTTAATAGAAAGGCATCAAGATGAAGGTTCTTTAATTCAGCCCCTTAACTGTAAAAGCAAAGGGTGTTCATTTGCACCCCTTTACCACAAACAACAACCCAGCCCACCCGCCCCAACATCAGGCAGAAGAAACAAACACATTTACACAGTAATAGACCAAATGCTGTGACTCCCAGCAAAAAAAAAGTGTTTTCCCCCTTCAAGTAAAGACAAATAAATCACAATTATATATATTTTTTCAAAGATTAGGCAAGAATAACCCAAATACCACACAAATAGCAAATAAGGTTTGGGAGAAACAGAATTCACAATTACAGAGACAGACTATGTTTTTTTTAACACTTTGGACACCATTCCAAATTCTGTTCCAGTTACTGTTTTAAAGTGACTGAAAGATTTAAAGGAATAATTTACCCATGAATTAATATTCTGTTCATTTCTTTTTTCACCCTCATGTCCAAACCTCGGCAGTGTTGATATTTAGGTATTACAGTACCAAGACATAAATGCACTGGGAATATCATCTATTTAATAACAGTATCCGTTACCCGGTTTTTTAAAATCTCTTTCACACACAGACTCACAGACACTCTCACACACACACACACCCCTACTTCTAAGGGAGAACGGAACCCTCACTGGCCACGCCCCTCAAACTTCATCAGCCAATCACCTCCCTTACCTAGCATGCTTGAGAGCTCCACTGCAGTGCTGATGTCATGGGCAGGTTCAAGAGACTGTCTTTAGTCTGTAGAGCTTCAGTGTGGTCTTTCATCCATCGATCCTTTCCACAACTGCATTCAGTCTGGAGTCCTTCTCCAATTCTCCTTCCCTCGTTCTCTACAGAGATGTGGAAGGAAGCTTTTTCACCCGTCTCTGTGCCAGGAATGAGGACTCGATGGACTTCAGCTCAGGGGGTGGTTGGGAACTCTTCAGTGCAGAGTATGTGGCAGCCATCGCCCCCTGTGAGGAGAGAGTTGGTGAAGTAATAGACCACCATTTTTGTTCTATATAATACATTTAAGAGCCTCATGGCTGCGATACCTTGACAAGCTTGGCATCTTGATGTTGTAGCTGGCTGTTGGGAAGTTTGTCTCTCTGAATGATCCACAGATGCTTCAGGACCTGCTTGGCTGTGAGCCGCTGGTGAGGGTCCACATGGAGCATCTTGGAGACCAAATCCTGCATGAAAAATCGTGCATGAGACAAAATAAAAACCCCAATCCATCAGAGCAGTTTGAATGGCTATGTGGATGGGGGTGGGGTCATGGCCTACTTTGGCAGCATCAGACACTGCGTCCCAGTTGCCTCCCGTCAGAGTAAAGTGTCCGCTCCCTATCCGACTCAGAATTTCTTCTGGAGTGTCTTCTGGTCCATTGGCAAATGGTGTAAAACTGGTACAATTAAAAACCAAAGGAAAAATGAGTGTGGATGTGGGTGTGGGTGTGCTTTCAGATTTTATGTGGAAACTGAGTGTGCGATATTTATTAATAATGGGAGTGAATGTGTGTGCGATCTTACCCAGCAATCATAGTGTATAGTAATACTCCAAGACTCCAAATGTCACAGCCCTCATCATAGCCCTGTCTTTTCAGTACCTGCAACACAAAGCGATACGTTTCAGCACAGTCACTGAGAATAATAAATATACACAAAATAACACTATAATACATAAAACAACATATCACAAAAACATCACACTGACACCAGAGAATTTAAAGCCACATAGTACAAACTGTCCTTTGCTACAAATAACTCCTGTAGAGAAGCATACAAAGTCCCAACTAATGTGTTTTTCATTATCACTGTAGTTATAATGTAGTTATAAAACATTGGGCATTTAATATGTTTATTGGTCTACTCTATATAGAATTCCCCAGTTTGTTGTGAGAACAAGCACTCACCTCGGGTGCTACAAAGTTGGCAGTATAGCAGGGTGTCATGAGAAGGCCATTGTCTGCCCGGAGCTGTTTGGCAAACCCAAAATCACAGATGCGTAGAGATTCTGGATTTCCAGACTCATCGACATACAGAATATTACTGGGCTTCAGGTCCCTGTGCACAACCTTGTAGAAAAAAATTTGGGATTAAAACATCTACCTGTCGTCTTTAGGTGCAAAAAGCTTTTATATGTGCCAACTAGTAACTGTACCATTAATAGTGCAGCAGTTATGAAAAAGACTACATTATATCAAATTTAAAGTTGAGTGTTAAAATTGCCCCCACAATAGGCAATCGCACCACTTGAATAATTGTTTAACCCACTGTATCTCAAATAAGATGATACCTTAAGTAATAATATTATTGTCTATTAATATTAATAATATCCCACTCTATGTGGGATATATGTTATAATTCTGTTATATTTCAATTGCCCTCAGTCCCTCTTTACTATTATATTTTGGTAAGATTTCAAAGAAGAGTGGTTTAATTGAATAGAGTACATTTTTTCATTCTTCAAGTGAATTCCACTTTACCATTATATCAGTGTATGATTTCAAGGAAGAGTTGTTTAATTGAATTGAGTCAATTTTTTCATTTTTTAAGCACTGCTATAATATATGCTATAAAAAACTACAGGATGATAGGTATTAGAAGTCTATCTGTTGTGGTTCTTCTGGGAAAGATGTCAACATAAAAACTATTTATTCACAATAAATGTTGCAAACAGAGGAGAGGGTACAGAGGGGAGTAGAACAGAAGAGGGCCTAGAGAAGAGCCCTGGGGAACACTTTAGAGAGGGGGGGGGGGGGAGGCTCTGTCACAAGCTGTGAATCATAATAACATATTCTGTGCTAGTGGCAGGTTATTAACAACAAGACAGATGTAATTGTGTTTGTCCATGCATGTTTTCTCACCCCTTGAGAGTGCAGGTATTCCACAGTCTTTGTGATAGTGTGCAGCACAGCACTAGCCTCTCTCTCTGAGAAAAACTTCTGCTTGAGGATTCTGTCCAGCAGTTCACCTCCTCGCATCAGCTCAGTGACCAGGTACACCTGCTTCCCATTATCATACACCTGCACCACAAGTTTTTTATTAATTAAATTTGGAGTGGTAGCATTTTTAGCTCCCTGTATTGTGTGCAAATATTAAATTTCAATAATGCAGATGATTTCTGCAGATCAGTTAATTGTGAAATAATATGCTGTTGTACTAACATCTTTGAGAGTGATGATGTTGGGGTGCTGGCCGTATCTCAGCAGGATCTCAATCTCTTCTGATGGGTCAGTGTTTGTTTTATCAATCACCTATCAGAATTATACAATAAATGATGTACAGTATAAGTCACCTGAAGACCACATGCATCCAAAACTTTTTTAGTGAACATAGCCTTCATCTTTTTGTTGATGACGTTCAAGTAAAAGAACATTCAAAAGAAAATATATTTTTTATTTAAATAAATAAATAAATACAGATTTATACCACCTGAAACACAGATTTTAGGATTCATAACTACTGTTATTTTCTACAAAGCATCAAAATATGTCTAAAAAAACCAAACTGACTCTAAAATGCCGTTTCATCAAAAACAGAGTCACATATGCTTAGGTAACCTAACCAATAATGCTGATGTCAAAAAAAGAAGAGATCATTCAAAGCCACTTGTATGACATTCGTACAATATTTAGAGAGGTTAACAGAGTGAGGCACTAACCTTCACTGCATACTCTGTGTTGGTTGCTTTGTGTATGCAGCGTTTGCAGACAGAGAAAGAGCCCATGCCGATGTCCTCCTTCAGTATGTAACCATCACTGAACAAGATGTTCTTACCGTGAAGCTGCTGCTTGAAGACAGATACACAACAGAGAGTATTAGAACAGCGCCACACACACACACACACACACACACACACACACACACACACAAATAGTAAAATCTAATAATTATAATGAACACACTGTTTACATTCTTTCAAACACAGGCAAAAACACTACATACTATCATTACAGTTTGAACTCAATACAGAGAATGCTGGATAGCACAGACTGAAGATATCACTCATACGGAGTAAAGCCATTTACCTTGTGCAGAACAAATTTTTCACTAATCGCATCCTTCATTAACACTGAACCACTGTATCATCTTCATTAAAGTGCATTATGCTCACTCTTACATGATTCAAAGTGAAAAGGTAGAAATACTGCTCTCTAGTGGTCAGCCATTTCAAGCTCATTTAATCATAAATCATTGGATGTTTGGGGTTCAAAACAAGTTATACTCTAACCTCAAGCAATTTAATTTGTTTCATAAGTGAACACCTCTTAAACAGTCCTTGCAGGTGTTAAGGTCAGATATCCTTATTACTTTCATCATTGCATTTAAACAGCCATGACAAAAACTGGACACTGTAACTTTGCACAAAAAAAACTTAATTATGTTCTGTGCTAATTAACAGCATTCCACTGGTTAACTTAACTTTAACCTGTCCTGAACCCTGTAATACTGTCGTACACTGTCATAAAAGCTGAGAAGGATTGGCACATTAACCACAGCAAAATACAAAGTGTTATTTTCAGGTGTATTTCTACATATACAGTGGGGGAAAAAAGTATTTAGTCAGCCACCAATTGTGCAAGTTCTCCCACTTAAAAAGAGAGGCCTGTAATTTTCATCATAGGTATACCTCAACTATGAGAGACAAAATGAGAAAAAAAATCCAGAAAATCACATTGTAGGATTTTTAAAGAATTTATTTGCAAATTATGGTGGAAAATAAGTATTTGGTCAATAACAAAATTTCATCTCAATACTTTGTTATATACCCTTTGTTGGCAATGACAGACGTCAAACGTTTTCTGTAAGTCTTCACAAGGTTGTCACACACTGTTAATTCAGGAACACTAAATTGAAGTCGTTCAATAATTACTTAATAAAATCACATACAGCACAGCAATTCAATAATAGTGCCTTTTGTGGCATTTAAAGGGATAGTTAATTCAAAAATTTAAATTGTCATAATTTACTCACCATCATGTCATTGAAGGTTCAAAAAGTATGGAAATGCCAAAAGACCAAACTTTAAGTTGTTATTCACTAATTATCTTCTCATCCATTGAGCTGAGTCAGTGAGTTGAATCTGAGTCAATGAGTCAATGACTGAATCATTGAATCAACTTATTCACTGAAACTCAATCGGACTTCACTACTTAGCTCAAAAACGTTTTTAGTGAATAATTTAAATTCTTTCATGTTCATCAAATAAAGCTATTGTGTGACTTCTGAAGTCTTTGGAATAGGCTGCTTTTATGATACTTTAATGGTGCTAACTCACCATAATGTAGTTTAACCACAAACGGATGGTTGACGTCTGCCAGGATGTCTCTCTCCATTTTAGTCCTCACACGATCCCTCACTGTGACGAGAACAATTTCACACAGGTTTTGAGGAAATATTCGGCCACAGCTAACAAAGTCATCTTGAGCATGAGAACATTTTCTACTGCAAGTGACTGAAGCGGAAGTCTAAAACTGAAGTTTATCAGATAGCATATGTTTGTAGGATGTGTTGTTATCAGCTCTCATTAGATCTGTGAAGGGCTCTCTTTTTAGGAATGGAGAGAAATAAGGAGGAGAGAAGAAGAGATAGCTACTATGATTTTAGTGAACTGACACCTAAACCTAAAACCTCAGGTTTGTAAGCATGGTGGGATTTTTTGTCATTGGGGTGCACACTAAAAAACAGGAAGTGTGTGTACCCAACCCACAACCCAGTTTCACAGTTGAGGTAATATGCCAAAGAATTGTGTATACTGACATTGCAAATCCCATCTGATAGGTTTGACAACAGTATATGAAAAACTGGTAAATTCAAATGTTAAATTCATAATTTGTGTAATCCTCAGGGTTGGTATCTGTGGTTACACAAATACTGAGAGTGACACAAGAGTAAAGAAAGAAAAACAGGCCAGGAGAACAATGTGAAATGAAAGTAGCTGTTGTAGCGCTGTTTATGTTAGCAAAGGAAGCTTGTGTGGTTTGTGGTGTGTGTGTGTGTGTGTGTGTGTTTACACTAATGCTGTACCTTTGAGTGTGGCCTTTCTCAGGACCTTCATGGCATAGAGCTGGTTATTGTCAGGAGGGGTTACCTTTCGTACTAAAAACACCTGTGCACACACATACACACACACACACACACACACACACACACAAAACATGCTTTCACTCTACAGCATTATTAAACTGTTGTGCTGAATGTGCCCAAAAGCAACTCAGGTTAAGTCAGTTTTTAAAGGCACTGGGATATTTATTGCTATTAAAAGAACATAAAACCCCATTAAAAAAATCTCAGTTTTTCAGGTAGCACACCATCGGGCGGCAAAATTCACAATAAAATAACTGGTTCATTTTTATTTTATGAGTTAAAAAACTTCCCACGGGAAGTTGTATTGAATTGAATGACAGGAAGAGAACTTGACTGCATTGTAATTCAAAGAAATTCAATGCCGGTAAGTGTAGATATTCACAATGAACAGGTCATTGCTAAATGGGCGGGGCCGAGAGCCGTGGGAACGGAGCGAGGCCGGAAGCAGTAAATGATAATCAGTGACACCTGTGTCACTCACAGGTCTCGAGTACCACGGAGGAGCTCCGGAAGGATAAAAGGAGGAATGAGGACAGTGAAGGACGAAAATGTTTTTGTTGTTATGTTGTTGTTGTTTTAAGCGGCAGTTGTCCGTGAGGAACTGCCGCTTTTATTTTTGTTTTGTGTTCGTTCATTTGTTTATTAAAGTTTTGTTTAAATGGTCGCCAGTTCCCGCCGCCTCCTTCCCGATCTACAAACTTTGTTACATAAATGTAATTTATTTCTGTCATGGCAATTCAACCATTATTCCAGTCTTCAATATTATGATCCTTCAGAAATCATTCTAATATGCTGGAAACAGAAATCTTGTGTAACATTGTAAAAGTCTTCAATGTCACTTTAATTCTTTTTTTTTTCTTACTGACCCCAAACCTTCAAACAGTAGTAGTAATAAATCAATTAAAATGAAGCATACATTTTGGAAATCATGCATTTGATTGGAAACATTGGTTATTAAATCAAAATACATAATACAAAACAGAATTCTACATCCCGAAATTCAAATTTGATGCCGTTTTATTTGATTGCTACATTAATTCAAAATCAGCAAATTAAATGACCATTAAAGGAATTCTCTATTTAATTCTTAATGGTGATAACATGCAAGGGTTGTGTGTAGGGGTGGATTACTGACTCCAAATTAATTCACGTTTGCTCTGGCGTCAACCCTCTGAACATCATTACAAAACCACTATTAACAAGTCTTTGCTTCACAGTTCAAAGTCCACAAACACAAGACATATATGAATTTGTGCAGTACAGAAGCATCTTCTTTTTAAAGTTTGTTTATATGAGAGTCTCTTTACCTTTCCAAATGAGCCTTGCCCCAGCACTTTGAGCAGCTCGAACTGTGAGGGGTCTGCTTTCTCCGCCCCCTCCTTAACAACATGTGTGATGTTGATCTCCTTGATGTCACCATCCTCCTACAACACAAGAGACAGAGATGGATATCAACTACAGCTTCTGTCAGGATAGTTGGCATAAAACATATACAGAGCTTGATTATTAAAGCTCAAAGCTGGCTTAAGTGCACAATCTCCTATGAAGGAGTAAAATGAACTATTAGCCATTTTCTTTTTTCTCATTTCACAATAACTGCTTATGTATCATAGAGCAGATTATCATGTACATATGTTACTGACTGGTGTTCGCCATTTCAAGATTAACACCACTGTCAATAACAAATATCTCCTGTGATCTAAACAACATTATGAGATCTGAATTAGACTCAGAGGGGGCTTCAAAGAGCCACCTGTAGGAGACGGTTTCTAAAAAATGCTTATATATTATGATTATATCAGGGATTTTGTCAGGGATCAGGTGCATGTATGTGCCTTGAATTGAACCTGCAACTTCTGTGGTTTCATCAAAGACCATTAAGATACCACCACCACTTATTTAATAGTTATTTTGCAAGTTTCAGCAGCAAGGGTGCAGTTGAGATAAGTGAGGCGAAGTTCATGCAATTTAATGCCACATAGAAAAACACTTTAAACCTATCAGATCAGAGTGTGTAATGACTAGCAGTCTATCCTTTATTAAAGCTGATCAAAAGCATGTAGGCTCTGCTGAAAATAAAGTGCTATGTGTCAACATTTCCCCTGTGACTAGAGAGAAAGAGAGAGAGGTTAAACATGTTTAGGAGGAAATGGTTAATGGTTGAATCAAAATTAAACATGCATTCCGAGAATACAGTACAATAAAAGCACACACACACTGCTCACTAACACACTAACACATCAAACCCAGTTAGACTAATATCAGAAAAAACAGCTGCATGTACAGCTGCAACCTACAATGCTGACTAACTGACCAATAAAATCATCACTGGAATGGAAACATTACCAATCCGTCAGTAAATAAATAATTTAAAGAGATAGGCCTAGTTCAACTCAAAATTACAATTCCGTCATCATTTACTCATTCTGATGTTGTTCAAAACATTTATGACTTTATTCTGTGGAACACAAAAGATATTCTGAGAAAAATCAAAATTAAACATGCATTCCGAGAATACAGTACAATAAAAGCACACACACACACTGCTCACTAACACACTAACACATCAAACCCAGTTAGACTAATATCAGAAAAAACAGCTGCATGTACAGCTGCAACCTACAATGCTGACTAACTGACCAATAAAATCATCACTGGAATGGAAACATTACCAATCCGTCAGTAAATAAATAATTTAAAGAGATAGGCCTAGTTCAACTCAAAATTACAATTCCGTCATCATTTACTCATTCTGATGTTGTTCAAAACATTTATGACTTTATTCTGTGGAACACAAAAGATATTCTGAGAAATGTGTCAGTGTTTTTTTTTTCATACAATGGAAGTAAATGGTCACTAAAACGGTTTAGTTCCCAATAACTTATGCTTTACTGAAGAAGTCATGTAAGTTTGAACATTTGGGTGAGGAAATGATGACAGAAATTTCATTTTTGGGTGATCTGTCACCTTGTGGCAGATGCTACAGCTGATGTTTGTGTTATTGTGTTAAGTTTTATAGTTTATGTACACATTATCTCATTAAAAAAAGTCTACAGCACATAACAACTGCTAGTTTAAGTGGATGTTAGGAATTCAGTTTATGTTTACCAACTTTTCTTGTGGTTAAAAAAAATCTCTCTCTCTATTATTCTAATTACTTTGTAATTTCACAATTATTTACTTCAAAAGCCTCTCAGTTTTATAAAAATCTGAAATCCATTTATTTTTAGGGGCAATTTGTTGCAGTTTTAATGACGAACACAAGTCAGCAGAAGTTCAAAAAAGGAGGAATTCTGCACTTGACAGGTTTAAGGGTGTTGCTAACACTTGTATCATAAAAAAAGACAACAAACAGCCACAGCTTAGTGTCACGGAGCACTGAAGCACATCTCATAGCTGTTCTCCACCACATGAAAGATCCATCTGATGTCTTGTCTCGAGAAGAACGACAAAATTCAAGTAAGAAACATCTGACAAAATCAAACAAAATCTGAGTAATTCTAAGCAATTAATTAAAGAAAAGTTTGTTTACATATTCATACAACCAGTGTGGCCCTATTCAACAAAACAAATGTAACACTTCGTCTCAAAATACAACCACCCTAGATGCAAACAGCAACTCCTCTACAAACCAATGCCACTATACTGTGTGTGTGTGTGCACTGACCGTCCACGTTGTATGTTCATCGGTTAAAGCTGCACTAGACTGAGCCGAGTTTGTGGTGCTGTTCGTCTCCTCTCTGGACTGAGTGGCATTCGCTAAAGTCTTACTGTGCTGCCGCCTGAACAGGTAGAGATTCAATAACTGACTGACTTTAAACTTCCTCTTCTCTTTCTCCATCTCTTCATCCCTCCTCTAGCCAGGGCATTCCACTGTTACCCCCATCCTCCTGCAGTCGGGGCAGCCATGGACAACAAAACTCATCCCAGAGAGGGAGTGAGCAGATTCTGGCAGTGTGTGAGAGAGTATGGGGAGTCAGGGTGTGTGCTCTACCCTACTCGACAACTACAGTGAGGCACGCAGGAAGAGGAAGAAAGAGACTGAGACCAGAAAACAGAACTGGTAAGAGAAAAGAAAAGCACACACACAGAGAGAGAGAGCGAGAGAGAGAGAGAGAGAGATAGGAAGGAAGGGACGACGTGACAGTAATGTGTGACAGATGGAAGAAATAAATATATTACATATATATATATATATATATATATATATATATATATTCAAACATTTATTATAAAATACACTATAACATTTAAATACTGATTATTCTATTTAATAACATTTCTATTTATATATTCAATCTTAAAATAATCTTTAAAATATCTTTAATAATATATTTATATTTAATTATAAATATGTAAAAGATAGATATAGTTGAATAATGATTCATGTGCAGAATAAAAATATTTTTATTTTTATTAACATTACTGACACATTTATTTTATTATTATAGGTTTGTTATGAAGATAACAATTTTAATGTTGTGAATATGAAATACTTTGTATTATTTTATATCATTTTATTATATAATTAAATTCATTTTTATTGATTCATAACTTGCACTTATGATTCATGTGCAGAATAAAAATATTTTTATTTTTATTAACATTACTGACACATTTATTTTATTATTATAGGTTTGTTATGAAGATAACAATTTTAATGTTGTGAATATGAAATACTTTGTATTATTTTATATCATTTTTTGTTACAAAATAATACTAAACTATAGTTTTAATAATAAAGCTAACATTACTAGTTTTATTTTATTCTGTTAACATTTTTACTTTTAGAAAGAATGAATGAAAAGAAACTGATGAAAGAACAACTGAATAAGAATGAGCAAGTGAACAAACGAAACACAGCAAGAAAGGAACAAACAAAAGAAAGAACAAATGAAAGAAAGAACAAACCAAAAAAAAATGAACAAATGAAAAAATAAAGAAAGAAAGTACATAGATCCAGAAAAATAAAGACCAAGAAAAAAAATTGCGGCCGGAGATGTATCTGAATGCCTGGCTGATTCTGTCGGGTGGACAGGACACTTTAAATGCTCATCCTGTCCTATAATGCCTTGCTGATTTCCCCTCTCAATGTTTTCCTCCCTCAATGTGAACAGAGCTAAAAAAACAGTGGTGCTTTAAAACATACAGGTTCTTCATCTGACCCTGACCAGTCCAGCCTGATACTACAGGAGGAACTCATAATCAAAGAAACAACAAACACTTAGGACAGCCATTAAACGTCAGTTTTTGGAATGTCCCAAAGCTCCTCTTCCTCTACTGTAAATGTTAGAACCCAAGCTGACAGACAGTAAGATAGAGCTCAAAGAAGAAAGCAGAAAACTCAGAGAGATCTTACCTTCACATTGATATCAGCAAACTCTTTCTCTACCCAGGTGATCTGTGACTTGTACTGCTTATGTGGGGTTGGGGAGGAAGAAGCAAACAAAGAGAGAAACAAACTAAGAACAAAATGAATGTTTTCTTTACACTTCCACTCCTGTGCACTAATGAAGCAACTAAGAATTCAACAATCTTCTCTCCACCAAAGTTTTGATAATTAAAGAGATAGCTCACCCAACAATCAAAATCCTGTCAATCTCAATGAAAGGCTGAAATTTACAATGCTATTCAATGATAATCTCCCTTTTCAGTGGGTAGAACGTTCGCTTTGTTCCGAAACAGGGACTTAAATTGTTACAATTCAATCGGGCAGAGTCCACCTCATTCAGATGATCTCATTCAGATGATCTCAAGGCCTGTACCATGAAGCCGGATTAGCTGGCTAGCCAGATAAGTTTTAGTTTAGTTTGCACCAATCCTGGATTTTAGGTACCATGAAAGTGGCTTGGGTTTTAGCAGCGTTCATTGCCATAGTAACTTACACTCCACAGCTAACCTGCTCCAGGGCAGGTTATGTTCTGGGTAAGAGATCTCAAATGGAAATTGGACCAATCAGATGTGAGTAAAGTTACACGTCTGACGCAAAAAAAGTCACTCCCCCAGTTTCTCTTCCTCCAAATTAAAGGTCACTATATAGTAAAAAAATATATAATTTTTTAAAAATAATAATAAATATATATATATTAAATATATATTCCTATACATTCATTATATTAAATGAATATTAATATTTACAGACCATGTAATATAAATAAGCTGTAAAATCAATAGATAATGCTTTAAAACTACATGTGAGCTTACATACTACTACGAGTCTCTATTGCTATTTATTATCAACCATATAAACTAACTTCACAAGTTTCACTTGTGACTGCACTGACAGAGCAAGATAATTTCTTTTATTTGTCCTCTTTCATGGACAAGTACTTTCTTCAGTGTAAATGCGTTTAAATTCCTCATTCTTCAATCTCTTAACCTTAACAAAAGAGTTTTGAATCTCACTGGGTCTCTCGCGAGAAGTGAATCACACTTGCTCTGTGTTTTGCAAGGCATGTGATTGGTTGTTCGCCACTGATGTCACACATTCATGTGCACGTGCTCCACAGACTAAGGACCAAAGCCAGAGTTGACAAAGAAAGTTGATGAACAGCATTGAGGTACCAACAACGGATTGGAGTGGTTTTCAAAAAAGACAAATATTTATTTACAGTTAAACTTCACATCCAGATAAAATGTTGATCCATTGCTTCAGAAGACTTTTAATACAGTGAGACATATGGACCTTGTTACACTATAAAACAGTGACCGACACAAGTCTTGATGGTAAATAAATGTTAGCGTTTAAATTTGTTCCATGTGAACTATCCCTTTAATTGCTGTAGTAAAAAACTGAATATGGTTGTTCGGTGTTGAAACAAAAACAGTGTATCAGTCGAAACTTCCTGTTTCAGCTGAGGTTGAGAGAAAAACTTCTCTAATATTCCTTCTGCAGTCACTCTTGCATTCACCAGTGACCTTTAATACGCAACACTTTGTAACAGATATGCAATATAAAACTTATCACTTTACTTTCACTCTGCTTGAATTAAACGCCAAGAGGGAAAACATATGCACAAATAGCACTTCCGCTGTCATTATTTTGTAATGGCAATGAGCACATCCATCTCTGTAAGCTCTCCATTACTTACAGTTAAACTAAAATGATTCAAGCTTCTGACAGAATTTTTAACTGGAAAATTAATAATTGATATAAAAACTAAAAGAGAAAACACACAGGATTTAACACCTAATATATTTTTCGCAATGCTGAACAACCCACAAAGCTACAGGCTGCAGGTTTTTTGCATCGTAAACCAGACGTTTCCTGTTTCAGAAATGTTCAAACCAGTTCGGTCACACAGAAAAGTCATAGTGAAACGGCTTACAAATGAGGGACATGCCCACAAAAAACTTCTTAAAAAAAACCTTCAGTTGAATTTTAAACAAAAACATCGCGCGCAAATCAACACAAGTCACAACATAGAGGATAACGCCCCATCTGGACCTCTCATTATCTCTCACCTCTAATCCTAAACAAACCCCTCTACCACACTTCTCTCAATTCCCTCGGGTAAAGGACAAGTACACTTGCCTGTTGCATGCGTGGCTTGGTGCGGAAGATATGCCTCCACATCTCCACCCTGACCCATGTCACTAAGGACAGAGGCTTCAGCAAGGGCTCTGTGTCTCTCTCACACACGCAGACCTCTTGAGTGATTAGAAATGGGGAAATGCCGAAAAAAAACCATAAGGGACAGCCGGGTGATGCGTATTTATATGAGTGGACCGGGTAGGAAATGGTGAAACTTCAGAGAAAAACTACATGTCAACCTGAGTCACACAATTCCTTTCTTGGTATTGACACAGAAGTGTTTCTACACTTTGATGGCTTTACTTGCGCAAGAATGAGCTCTAGGTGTCTATAACCATGTGGACATGTGCCAACCGATTTTTGACCAATTTTGTCCCCATCACTTGTGCAATCTATGAGCACCTCCAATTACTCAGGGGTTCACATAGGGTTCTTGTATTTCAATTGGTAAAGCATGCTGCTGGCAACACTGAAGTCATGGGTTCGATTCCCTAAAAATGCACTGTAATTCACTACATATAAAAACATACTCCAATTTAATTAAGTCTCTTATGCTCACTGAGGATGCATTTATTTGATCAAAAATAAAGTGATAGCAGTAATATTGTGAAATACTACAATTCAAAATAACTGTTTTCTATTTGAATGCATTTTAAAATGAAATTAATTCCTGTGATGGCAAAACTGAATTTCCGGCAGCCATTAGTCCAGTTTTCAGTGTCACGTGACCTTTTAGAAATCATTCTAATGCTGATTTGGCACTCAAGAAACATTCCTTGTTATCACAGTTAAAAACAGCTGTTTAATATTTTTGAACAATGTACATTCTGTAAAAAAAAAATGGTTAGTTTATGATGCATAATACAGTAATGAATTATAAAGAAAATTTACTGCAAAGTTTTGAATAAAAACAAGAACTTTAAATGTGCTCAACCTAATTAATATTCACACACCTCCCCCACTCACCCGCCAGTTAAAAACAAAGTGATGCTAATGGTCAAGCAGTCCCTACAGCTTCAGCCCTACAACACGCCCTGATACCTTCACTACTCAACCTCCAAAAACCACCTGAACGCAAGTTGCAACAGTTACAGCTCTGCGTGTGTTGCTAAGCAGCGAGTACTGCGGACTTTCGTCTTGAGAGCCGCACGCGACTCGTCTCTTTTTTGTGTGGCCACCTGTTGCACTGGATTTACAGAACTGCTCATTCTGAACAAAGACGCGCGTGCAGCTGGTGTGTGAGTGGAAGCGATGTCCACTAGTCACACCAATCAGCTGGCAAAGGGCTAGAAGAGGCTTAAGAATTAATTGGCAAGCATGAAGTGGCAAAAACAGTTTGAGTCTCTTTGATCAGTGAAAGGAGTTTATGAATATGTATGCCACCCTCATTAACTGAGCGAATAAACATGAGATTCTAATGAGTAAAGAATAGTCTGGTTGGGCTGGTGGGAAGTGGCTGAGTGAGCACTTCATAGTTTAAGAGTCTCAGAG